CAAAAATCAATCAAGAATAATGCTGGAAAATACATAGATATAGGAACTGTTAGAATACGACTGTCAGAACAGCTATTATGAAAGCATTCCATATGTCGAAGATGATAAAGGAACATGAAAATTGTGGGAAGAGAAACAGATATGATAAAAAATAAAGTGGGTCTGGGGGATGAAGCCCAGTATGGAATGCCTACCAAGTATGGACAAAGCCCTTTGCTTGACAAACAATCCAATACACAAAACAAACTCAAATGGAGTTCATTTCAAAGTAAAAAAGAAAGAGCAGTACTGAAAATGACGACTGGATTGAAATTCATCTTTACTGCAGATCAGAACTGTAGGGAGAGTTCAAAGAACCTGCAGAACAAAAGCTATCCCAAACTAAGCACACTGAGACTCAAAATGATTAAGAAGCAAACAGTACAAGAAACACATGAGACACTGAAAAGTCTGAAAAATGTTATAATATTTTTAAGTATTAAGCAACAGATATATTGTAGATCTAGTCAGTAATAACTAAAATATATAAAAGAGCTAAAGCTAATAAGCCATTAATCACACAAGTTGTTTTAAAAAATCAATCTAAAGGAAATCAATAAGAGGAAAAATGGGACAAAATATGATGAGAAAAGCAGAAAGCAGGAGGATAAGTTCAAGGTAATCCTTGGCATACATAGTGAGCTGGAGGCCAGTCTAGATTACATGAGATCCTGTCTCAGAAAACCCCCAGACACAAAACAAAACAAACACACACACAAATAAAAGCCCACAACAACAAAAACAAAATAATACAGAAGGCTTGAACAACAGTACCTACCAACTTCAGCCATTGGGCAAAAAGTGACAGCTGAATACATGTTTTTTTTTAATGTAACTAGAATACTTAAAAAACTGGGTCATTAAAAAAAAAGCTCAAGAAATTTAACAACTGAAATTATACAAAATATACTCTGACTAAAAATAAATTAGAAATCTACACTAGAATATGTCCACAAAATTTCTAAATATCAGAAAAGTAAGATGCAAACTTCTAAATAACCACCAGATTAAATAAGAAAGCTGAAGAATACTCTGATGATACTGAATACCAATGGGGGAAAAAAAACCACATCAAGTTGGTGGGAGGTAGATACCTATTTTTTCAGTTTCTGTGTATTTGAAATGACTTTATTTAACTTATATTTTTCTAAGGATATTTTCACAAGATAATAAATTTTACTTAGGTTGACAGAAATTTTCTTCTTTTTTCTTCTAGCACTTAAAAATGTTATTGTAATTCCTTCTGATTTTCATTGTTGAGGATAAGAAGTTAGCAATAACTCACATGCTTTTTTTCCTCTGGCTGATTTTATTTTTTCTCTTTATCCTGTTTATTTACTAACCTCTCCATGCATTTGTGTGGCTTTCTTTGTGCTTACTTAAGTTTTTTAAGTTCCTTGAAAAAATAGAATACTTTTCCCAAACTTGGAAAAATTTTCAATCAGTCATGTATTATAATTTTTACTCTCATTAGTTTCTGAGACAAGTTTTTTTCCTATGTAGCCCAGATTCCTGGCTGAACTCAAACTTACAATCTTCCTGCCTCTATCTTCTGGAAGCTGGTATTATACTATTTTAGTTTTTAAATTATTTACTATATTACACTAGGTTTTCTAAATCTCTTTTATGCAAATTTTCAACATCTGGGTAATTAGTAAGTTCATTTCTACTTCCTGTCTTCAGTGTCTACTTTAAATTCTGTTGTCACAATTTGCAGTTCCTTGCATGAAAGACTTTAGTTTTTGCTACAAAATTGCAGATACTATATGGGTGAATAAGTATGCGAGTATGTTTGTGTGTGTGTGTGTGTGTGTGTGTGTGTGTGTTGTGTGTGTGTTCTTCCTTCAAAGACTATTGAGTTTTCCTTGAGAGGTATTTATTTCATTTACAGAGTAGCTTTATCTTATCAAGTCTTATGGATAGGTTTTGTTAGAGTGTGACAAGTTTCAAATATATATAAGAAACTCAAATAACTCTATAGCAAGAAAACTGTGAGATTTAAAAAGAATGGTCAAAGGATCTGAATAGATATTTCTCCAAAGAATACATATAAATGACCAATAGACACAGAAAAATGATCGATGATCATAGAAATATAGCACCTCACATCCGCTGAAAGGGTTACCATTGAAAAGATGTCAGATGAACATTAGAGAGCACAGAGGAAATGAAGCTCTGTAAATGTTGGTAGAGTATAAATTCATGTAAACAGTATGGAGGTTCCTTCCACCACTGAAGGAAACCACCAAATGATCCCCGCCTGGGTACATAGGACAGCCAATACATGGAATCAAGCCCTATGCCCACTAGTAGGTGAGTAGGTGGAGAAACTATGGAGTTTGTATAAAACAGAGCATCATGTGGTTTTGAGCATAGAAAGACACTTACTATACATACATTATACATACTATATAATTTCACTAGAGTGTGGAGAAAAACCAAACTTATAAGTAAGGAATGGAGAAGGCCAGGAGGGCTAGGGGAAGGCAGTGGGAAGCACAGGCCAAATGATGCAGAGTTTCAGTTGGGAGAAAGTTCAAGTGATCTACTGCACAAAACAGTGCCTACAGGAAAGGGTTCTATTCTTGAAAGATGGCAGAGAGGAGATTTGAAGTACAAAAAAGACATGTGGAGTAGTATAAAATTTAGGAGCTCTTTGTAGCCATTCCATAATGTGTACACATTGAAAACATGCTGTAATGATAATCACATTCAAAGAAGAAATGAGAGTAGCTGTTACTACGGAGCCTGAACTGCACTCACTGGGGTCTGACTGCTATACAAGATGATAGGCAGATGATCTTAGAGGACCCAGTGGTTCCTGGCTTCCTTCCTAGTCATCTCATAGATCCCAGAGGCTGCTCTCAGGCAAGCCTCACACTTTCCTGCATATGGCAACTTACTAGTAATCAAAGGCTTCAGTGCTCCCAGTGCAGATTTCCAAAGCTCCTCCTTTGAACAGCTCCCTGCTCACTGGGAGCTTACCTGGGAGCTTACCTCCAAGAGCCCAGTTGCCTTTCACTTCCAATATCCCTTACTGGCCCTACTTAGTGCACATATGTACATGTAGATGTACAAACACACAAATCAAAACATAAATAACTCTTTAAAAAAAAAAAAAAGACCTTGCCTCATCAGCCCTATACACTAAACTCAGTCTGCCCTGGTTTCCATTCTTATTTCTTCTGGTAAGGAAACAAATGCTGTTCAGCTGCTGTTAAACAGTGTTTCTAGATGGAGCCAAGGTGAACACAGCAGCTTCTTCTGTGCTTCCTTCTCTGAAGGACCACAGCCTTGTCTTGTCTGTTGTTCAATGCAGGAACAGAGCAGCTTCACACAGTTACCTAAGTTTATAGATGTTTATGGAGAAAGGGGGACTTTCAGTCCTATTCCTGATGAATGGAAATGGAAATCTCCACAAACACCATTCCAAAGGAAAGAAACTGAGCAGTTAAGGTAAGGAATTGGGACAAGGCTGTCAGACTGATGAAATTTTGTTTCAACTTTATTAGAATCAGAAAAAGTTAAGAAGTCTTAACATTTTTTTGACCATTTTCACTGCTCATTAATAGCACAGTGAAGAACACAACATCCTTCAGTCATTTCCAGCCAAAGCCTAATTTTGTGGTCAACCCCAAGTGGACAATTCCTGCTGAGTCAGCAATACCAATAGAGGTACTCCTCCTATCTGCTGATCCATAATAGCCCCTGTCCCATGCAGCAGGACAGGACCTTGTAGTGGTGCTTATATCAGCAAGGCAAAGGGATATTTGCCACACTTCTCTTGTAAAAGGCTTTTATGGTCATAATAAAAAGGACAGGTGAGGCTGGATTTTTTGCTGTCATAAATGTGGATCTGACTGAATTACATAAGAGGATACAAGGCCCACACACATATAGCAAAGAGGAAACAAGTGAGATCATTTTCGCAATGATGTTATGGAAAAACTAACCAATACAACAACCAGTTACCTCTGAGGAAAAGATTTAGATTCAAACCTCCATCTGAAGTTTTCTGTTTCCCACACAGAAAGCATTTATGACTAATGAATGCACTGCTACGTCTTCACATTACAAATAAGACATAGTTAGGTTTTTTAGGTTTTTTTTTTTTTTTTTTTTTTTTGGTCTTTTTGAGACAGGGTCTCCCTGTAGCCTCAGCTGTCCTAGAACTCACTATGTAGACCAGGCTGGCCTCAAACTCTCAGAGATCCGCCTGCATCCGTCTCCCAAGTGCTGGGATTAAAGGCATGCACCACCACACCTGGCAAGATGTAGTTAGGTTTTATTTTATGTATGATATGTAGGTGAGTTTGTACGTGTGAGTTCAAGCATGCACACCATAACATGTATGTGGAGGTCAAAGGACAACCTTGGGTATCAGACCTCGCCTTCCACCTTGTTTGAGACAGGGTCACCTGCTGCTTGCTGCTACTTACACCAGGCTAGCTGGCTCACAAGCTTCTGGGGACTCTCCTGTCTCTGTCTCCCATCTGTGTAGGCATGCTGAGATTACAGATACATGTTACCATATATCTCTGTACACAGGTTCCAAGGATCCAGTTCTTATGGTTGCAAGTAAGGGCACTGCCTCCTGAATCATCACCTAGCTCAAGACATAATTTAAGTACAAGTTGAAAAGGAAGCAAACAGGAAGACATTCTTGGTATCCTTGGGTGGAACACATTTTTCTATGATATCTAATTACATGCAGGTCTACTACACATACAAACTTTTTCCACTTAGGGATCATCTCAGTTCTAAGTATGAGTTTAAGCACTTGTAGGCAATCAAATTACCTTGCTGATAAGCTCTGTTACTAAATGTCCTGTAAGTTACCTCTGTCATCCAGATATTCTTTGACTCTATCATGAACAAGGGCACAACAGACCTAAAATTGTATTTTCACATTAGTGACTACCCAATTTTATAAAACAAGCAAAGATGGTTCATTGACTTACGTTCACATTCTCTGACATCCAGGTTGAATTGCTGTAATGCTCCCAAGGTGAGCTGCCTTACTTCGGCTTCTAGTAAAAGTTGCATCAAAGATGTGGCTAAATGCTTGCAAGCTGACATACAGGCGGTCTGGGCCACCTTTCCCTGAAATACAGATATGTAAACCAGAAAGTTAGTGAATTAAAATGAAATTCCAACCTAATTAATTTTTGAAGCAGAGTCTCATGTCTCCCAGACTGGCCTCAAACATCCTATATAGCCAAGAATGACTGGACTTTTGATCCTCCTGCGTCTACCTCCTAAGTGCTGGGATTTCAGGCATGCACCATCATGCCTAGTTTATGTGGTGCTGTGGATCAAATCCTGGTCATTTTTGAATGCCAACTGAGCAACATCACCAGACCTGAAAATTCAAATGATTTATTCTTCAATTAAGAATTTCTTTAAGGCTCTCCCTTTCACCACACTCTTACATCTAGCAATCTTGTAAACACATTGTGCTGGATAGCTTTAGTGTCAACTTGACACACCTGGGTTGAGGGAGCCTCAATCAGGGAATTGCCTCTATTGGACTGGCCTGTGGCCAGGTCTGAAGGGCATCTTCTTGATGAGTGATGTGGGAGGGCCCAGCCCACTGTGGGTGGTGCCACCCCTGGGCAGGTGGGCTTGTGTTGCATAAGAAAGCAGGCTGAGCAGGAGCCAAGGGAGCAAGCCTGAAAGCAGCGTTCCTCCATGGCCTGTGCTCCAGCTCCTGCCTCCAGGTTCCTGCCCTGAGTTCCTACCTTGGGCTCCCTGATGAACTGTGTGCGACCTGGGAGATGTAAGACAAATAAACCCTTTCCTCCCCAAGTTGGTACTGGTCAGAGTGTTTTTGCAACAGCAATGAAGAAACAAACTAGGACACACATATAATAATTATTTTATTTTGCTTTTTAAATTTTTATTTGTTATTTTTATTTTATGTGTACATGTATATTGCCTGCAAGTAGGTAAGTGCATCCCTGCCATGCAATGTCCTTGGAGGTCAGAAGAGGTTGTCAGAACCCTGGGACTGGAGTTATGGACAATTGTTAGCTTCCATGTGGGTGCTGGGATTTGAACTCGGGTCTTCTGCTGCGCCATCTCTCCAGCCCCCCATATAACAATTATTTTAAATAATGGCTCTATCACCATAAATCATGGTGGTGATAACTGTATTAGTAAGGCATAATTCACAAAGCCCAACTATGTAGCAAAGCACATTTTCAAAATCAAAAGTAGGCAAACAATATTCAAAATGTTAAGTAAACTGAGAAATATTGTAGAGAAAATATATTTGAAAAAGTTCATTCTAAAATTACTTTAAAAAGTAAATTCCAACAAAAGTCTACATTTAAATTGGTGTTTACTGCTTCATGATCTGTCACATACAAACTCAAAAACAATTCATATAAATGAGGCTGAATAGATGGCTCAGAAGTTCAGAGCACTTGCTGCTCTTACAAAGGACCTGGGTTCAGTTCCCAGTACCCACATGGCTCACAACCATCTGTAACTCCAGTTTAAGTTCCAGGAGATCCAACACTGTCTTCTGGCTCCTTGGGCACCATGTACACACATACTGTGCATACATACATGCAGGGAAAACATTCATATACATAAAATAAGAACTGAAAAAAAAAACAAAAAATCAGAGCAAAAAAGGTTTTAACAAAGTAATTAAAAGGATAAATTTTGTTTTCTTGGAAAACACTGAGACTTATGAATAAATTCTAAGCTAATTTTTAAAACATGGATTTTGAAATTAAATTCATATTTAATTGTCTTCATTAAAGCAGTCAAAGCACTGTATATTTAATGTAATGAACCTCAGCCCTAGGTAGATGTTACACATGTCAGAATGTAGATCTACTTTTCTTGCAAACATATATCATTTTTCATATTATTTATTATCAACTCTGAAAGTCAGAGTTATATGTTTTGAACTCAGTGCACCCTCTACCTTGAAATCAGTCAGCCATATGGACATTCCAAATACAGTTGACGCTCCTAAGTGACCTAATTAATTACTGCCCTACCTCAGAATGGTTCAGAAGTGGCCATTATTGGTATTAGGTAACCTTTTGTATATTGAAGCCCCTCAGTGAATGAAGCACTTGCTTGTTAATGCCCAAGGTTCTAGGATTCATCCCAGGTACCACAAAGAATAGAAAAGAAAAGAAAAGAAAAAGAAAAAGAAAAAGAAAAAGAAAAAGAAAAGAAAAGAAAAGAAAAGAAAAGAAAAGAAAAGAAAAGAAAAGAAAAAGACTAATGCTGTTCTGCACTTCTGAAACTTCTATTAGCTTACAATATAAACTTTTGCAACTTGTTTCCTCAGTTCAGTGTTACAAAAATGGAAGATATTTAATGTACTGCATATAATAATTCTTCACCTGTTCCATAGTATTCCTTCTTGGGACTAGACCACAATTCACTGAGCATTCAACTAAAGATTTACGGAGCTCCTTCCATCCCTCCCTCCCTCCCTCCCTGCCTCCCCCTCCCTCCTTCTCCCTTCTTCCCTCTCTTTCCTCATTTTCTTTCTTCCTTTTGGTGCTACAAACAAAATACATCATAGATAATATGAGCCTAGTAAGAAATCATAAAAATATCAGAGTTTAACTAGACCATCTCCTTTTATAGATTTTTTACATATACTGGGCCAGTCTCTTCCACAAAATACCAAGCTTTAAAAGAAAATATAAATGATAGTACAATAATTTTAAGTATGCATACTTTTATCTTCTTTGAATAATTGCTTTAGGATTACTTACTAGGGCTAAGTAAGCATGAAGAGCATCCACACTGTTTCATTATCTATGTGCAAATATATGAAATATATAGAAACCAGATCTCAAATAACCACTATAAATGGCTCTGCAAAAGATGCTCTGTCTGCATGGCCCCTAGATTTTCTGGGTTTTGTTTCACTGCATCAATAGGATTGAGTACTGTTATGGATTTTTTTTTATTAATTAAAGAAAGGGAGTATATGATTATTTTGTGCCATTAAATAGTTCTTAAAATTGTATTTATTTGACTAAAATCTTGTAGCATAAAAACAAGAGTAACAATGGCCTACTAGTAAAAAGACTATAAATGTTTCTCAGCTACATGGATGACCTTGTTTGTATGTTCACTGACGAACTACACTCTGGATGACAAGACAGAAAATGGAAATACTTATGTTGGGGAAAACTTAGAGATTCAAGACACAGGCAATGGAGCATAAAGAAGCCTAAAGAAAAAAGATACATTACCATAGACAGCCATGTTACAACTGAAGCCACTGAAGACCAAGACAGCCACATCTAGGAGCAATATGGTCAGTAACGATGTTGGCTAAACCCAGTGGAAATGTTCCAGCAGGTCGATCAAAGGTGCACTATGTGATCTTTCAAAAAAGAAAGTGGGACCTCTGGGAAGGAATGGGTGAGACTAAAGTAGGTATCCTGAGACATCTGGGCAGAGTGGAGTCAGAGTAAAGGGAGAGCAGCCTTCACCTCCTGGGCAAGACTGCATAGCAGATGCTCTGACTGTGGAAACCTTGGTATCTCCAATTACACAGTCATCATAAGAGTTGGCATTATTAGCCGAGTGTGGCAGTGCATGCCTGTAATCCCAGCACTCAGGAGGCAGAGGTAGGCAGATCTCTGTGAGTTCAAGGCCAGCCTGGTCTACATAGTGAATTCTAGGACAGCTGAGGCTACAGGGAGACCCTGTCTCAAAAAGACCAAAAAAAAAAAAAAAAAAAACCAAACAAACAAAAAAAAACTCTGTCTCAGAAAAATAAAACAAACATACAAAGTTGCTATCAATATACATCAATCAATGCTGTCAAATGCACATATACCAGGTACTTTTATCACTTTGATATAAGCCATCCAATCCTTTCTCTCATGCTAATTCTTCCAAAGAAAACGCTCATTTCAGAAATACATTTTTTCAGTGTTAAGTGCTTTGTAATTCTATAATAGTCCACTCTTCTGCAATTCTTCCTATCACCATGCTTCCCAGAGGTTTTCTAGGAAAGAGTAAACATAGATTCAAGCAATAACAGCCAATTGCCAAGCAATAAAAATTGGTAGTTTCACCTTTTTCATAACATAATTTTAGTATAAAAGCAGACTTTCTAGGAATAGCTAGCAAAGCACTAAGATAAGGCAATACTGGAACTTAAGAAATCTTAAACTGAGCAACTGCTCCATACAAACACCTCTGGAGACCTATAAGAACAGGGTTTTGTTTTGTTTTGTTTTTGTTTTGTTTTTTTTATTTATTTATTTATTTATTTATTTATTTATTTATTTATTTTTTGGTCTTTTTGAGACAGGGTCTCCCTGTAGCCCCAGCTGTCCTGGATTCACCATGGAAACCAGGCTGGCTTCAAACTCACAGAGATCTGCCTGCCTCTGCCTTCCGAGTGCTGGGGTTAAAGGCATGAACAGTTTCAAATCAGTTATAACCACCCTCGTCTTAGGAGGGTTAAGACAGTACCAAGTAGAAACTGCATGAAACTAAAACAGAGGCTGGATAAGAGGAAGGACAACCTAAGGATTACAACCACTTCTTAAAAAATAGGAAGGGCATATATGCAAGGAGATTTGGGACATAGGTATCACACAAATTCTATAGGTCATGCCATGCTATCTAGCATGTATTCATAACATGTATGTGCCCAAATCAATTACTATGTGCCAAACACATGAACTGAAAGTCAACTATCCAAACACCTCCTTTATACTCTTCATCTGGTTGTAGGACCTGTTTGGTTAGTACTGGGAAATGCATGAGCATAGACTGTTCAGAAACTCAGTTGTATTAAATCAAAGTCAGGCATATTAATTCCAAGCCAGGGAGTGACCAGGTGTGAGCTAACCACAAAAAATTCTTGTTTTACTTTCCTCCATGTTGCTCTTGGGGAGCTAGACCAACTTACTTTTTTTTCAGAAATATATGCCAATCAGAAAATCCCATTTTCTGATTTGAACTAACTCCTTCACTTCCCTCTGTCGTTTACCATGATATTTGTACCATGACACTCTGCACCAGATGATATACTTCTCTGTCGTTTCTTGGACACTGACTCCCCCCACACACACAACCTATTTCAACAAATTTCTACA